GGACTACCCTGGTAGCTGCAGCCCTTGTGCAATTTTTCACCTCCACATTCCTGACACAAGTACCAGTGGAAAACTACCAATGGACAATGGAATTTAGGAGATGTGTAAAAAAAAAAAAAAAAAAAAAAAAAAAAAAAAAAAAAAAAAAAAAAAAAAAAAAAAGAAAAAAAAAAGGCCAAAAAGGCCCAGTAATATGTATCAAGTAGTTTATAAATAACTATGCTATTAGTTACTGCCTTGTGGTAGTGTGGTAGTGTGGGAGGTCAGCATGGTGCTTTGTTACCCTGCAATAAAATAAGTAAATGTAATAAGAGATTAAGTACTCAGGTTATCTGTCCCCTTGGGAAATGTATATAATTTTTCTGTTGTAGATTTTAGCATCTAATATTAGCAATGTCTGACCCAGACTAAGTTCAGCTTCTACCAGCCCTGCACCTAAATCCTCTGCCATGGATGACTTGTGCTGTTTGCAGAGTGAAGTTCTGTTGGAAGATGAACATTTACTGCAGATCACTGCAAATCATGCCTGCATTGCCCAAGACATCCATCCTTGCCTGCTGTTGCTATTGTGCCCCAATAGGTGTGAAATGCAGGCAGAGACCAAAAAGAAGCACCAAGTCTATGAAACTGCAACAGATGCAGCTCTGCAGGTCACAGAACAGGACTGGCTCTGCACTGAGGCTCCAGTTTATCTGATCTGTATCAGCTTGTGAGTCATCTTTGTTGCTGAAGCATGGACCTTAAAAGGTCTTGCTCCATGGCAGGTTACAGTTGACAGTACAAATCAGCAACGCATGGGAGGAAAAGAACTTACCATCTTTAGAAGAATATTCAGTTATTTCCCAGCAATCCACTGTCAACCCAAGGTCACCAAGGTTTAACTAACATGAGAACCACAGGAGTTAAAGTCTGGATGGCTTAAAGACCCAGACATTGTTACCTCCAACCTTTGCCCAGTACTGGAAATTTGTCCCGAAGGACATGGGAGCCTAATTTTCACAGCTGATCACAGGAAGAAAACGAGATGCTATTTATGGTGCTGAAGGACACATGACTCACTCCCTCAGCTTCATCAAAGTGATGAATTTAAGCGCAAAAAGAGTCCTTCCTCCTCCTGCCCATTGTGTGCCACCAAGTTAGAAGCTGCACACAGGAAAGACATGGACAGGGAAGTATCTTGTTGGTCCTGCTTTTCCCAGGGAAATGCTTCAGCTTCATCCTGCCCAGGCAGCTGTCTCTTATGCTGAACTGAGAGCTGCCTTTGTGGATGAAAAGTGTGAGTCTATAGTCACTTCAGCTTCTCCAGGGATTGGGACATCAGAGTAGAGGGCTTTGTTTCTGACCTGTTCCAATTAGGAAAAAAAGACAGAGATTCATGCAGGACAGGGAGTTTCCATAAGTTTGAAGGGTTAGATAACAAACTAATGGCAAAGGGAGGAATGAGGAGGTTTCCTTTCTAGCTATAACTTGAAATCCTTTCTAGTGGACAGGAATGTATTTAATTTTTTGTGTCTGCTCAGCTTCTCTGTTAGGTTCTAGCAACAGTTCTCTTCCAGCCCAGTTCTCTTCTTGCTCATGTTTTCTCAGAGGAGAGTTTTTTTATCACCCCCTTTAAGTTTCTCTTCCTAGTAGAACATTATGAGCAGCCCTCCTGTGCATGTTGGAAGGGCTTTTTTTATCTTGTTTTAAACACTGTTAGTACCAGACATGACGTAAGCTGGCTGTACCAAAAGTATTTTAGGGCGTTTTAACTCTTCTTGTCAATAATGATGTAGTTAAGTTGAAATTAAAATCTCACTTGCTTCTGTTTGAGAGGAAGATTGTTTTGCCTGCACCTTGATCCATGCCCACTGAAGCCTCTCTCATATTGGTAGGAATGGATCACAAAGGAAGAATTTGAGGATTTTTTCCTCATGTTTTTTTTGTTTTAAAAATTTAAATTAAAATTTTTGCTAATAAAATTCAACTCTATTTTTTCCTCTCAGCAACACTGTACCCCATGTCTAATCACCCCAGCAGTATTTTTATCAGCCACCAAATTTTATCACTGGCTTTGCCTGTTGCAAATAAAGTCAGGGCTGTTTCTTCACGGTGGAATTGGCATGCTGCAATGTGTTTGGGCGACCTATATCCCACCCCAATTATTCTGCCTAAGGTTTCCTGCCAGCTGGTGCCCGATTATCAGAGGCACATCACTGATAGGCAGCTCCGTGCACAAGAAGGGCTCCAGACCGCCTCCCATCCTCATCATATCCTGCTCACTGCATTGCAAGCTTGAGCAGCCATTGTGGTCTCATAACTCTGGAAGCAAACACAGACAGGCAGTTTCAAACTCTCAGCAGGTTTGGGCTGTATTTTTCTTCCCAGGTCTTTTTATTACCCAGAGTGACCTCTCTGGTGCTGCAAGCTGCCTCCTCGATGGTTCCCCTGCTCTTAGGAAACATCGTGGCTGCTGCCCCTAGATATACAACCTCCTCTCAGAAATATTAAGCTGCATGTTTGTTCCAAAGCCAGAAATTAGGTGAAGGTTGAGAGGACTTACCGGTAAGTCAGGACAGGGACAAATACACATATTGCCCAGGGCGTTGCAAACATCCTCGGAACAAATACCTCAAATCCAGGCAATTCAGTTAAAGCTGTTCAAATGCTGAGTGGTATTTCTTTACATTACAGCATCGCGTAAAGGTGTTCCATATCTGAAAATAAAGAACTGTGTTGGAAGACAAAAGTCTCATGCAACATCTCAAATACTGTACAGTAAAAAAAAAAAAAAAGTCTTAAACCTCTAATTCATCTGAACAAACGAACTGATTTCTCTCAGACTGAGAACATCATATTTTGGCATGCTAAAGTGTTTAAATATACAAAATCCAGTTTAAGGCTGTATGACTCCTGCCTCTGTGACAAACCAACCAGAAATTTCCCTCTGATCCACAGCTGTAAATCAGACCTGCACTTCCATCAGTCCCACACTGATGAATCTGCCTACTAAGAAGCTACCAACTTCAAACCTCTTCAGTATTGAATACTTCAACACTGATAACCTCCTTTTGGGTAAGTTCTTTGTCTTTTGAAGTCTGCCACTTCTTTTTAATGCAGACATTTATTCTGTGAGGAGGGTAAATCTTGTGCTTTTTCATGTCCCTGCTTCCCCATCTTGAAATTTGTTTATCGTTATTTCTGCAAATACTGCTAAAAATTATCCTTGCCTTGACTTGGTCCTCAGAAGACAAGCTTATTCAGGGCTTTAATCATTTGCTGATTAACTTCCTGTCATTCATTGGTTTATGGAATTCCTAAATCCCTCTTGAGAGATTGTGATCTCAGAACTAAACCAAAAGCAACCGTCTTGACATCTCTAGTAATTCCAGTGCAAAGAAAGAACTGAGACACAAACTGAGACTTGAAAGCCTAGGTATTAGAAGGGTCTGGACAGGGCTAGAGATTTCCTGATAGAGTATTTCTGTTGAGGTGAGACCTGCAAGATCATACCCACATCACTCAGAAGACACTTCACATTACTATGGTGTAAAGTCCTGTGTTAAGGCCCTCAGAATAAAATGGGGGATTTCAGTTTCATGGTTCTTTTTGAGTTTTCTGTCACTCATTTCAAATCCACACCAAAAAAGCTTTAAATTTTTTCTTTCCATAGTCATGTTTTGCTTCTTAGTCCAAGCAATTTCACAAGACTGGAACCATGTCTGGCTGTACTGTATTCATCATGGTGATATCCAGAGACTGCCTGTTGTTTTGTCACACCTTCATAGTCTTAACTTTTTAAGAAAATGAAGAATTAAAGTTGACTTTGATTTTTACTCCCAGTCTTTTCTGATTGAAATACTTTCCTATTTATTTTATTCCACAAAGGGCACAATAATACTTCTCTGTAACTGTTCTCAGCTACTTTCTATCATGGTGGTGCAAAACCACGCAGCCATCAGAGTGTCTTTTTTTCCTACCTTCTCCTTCTTTGTGCCTAATGCTACACCTTGGTGCACATCTATTCTGCATCTATTGACAGCCACTTTTGTGATACTCTGTAAGACCTGATATATAAACAGAAGCCTGGACTGATATAATGTAAGCATCACCCTGAAGCCCAGGCAGCCCTGCTGTCCTGGGATTCCCCCATGGAAATTACTCACTGGGCTGACTGTTAACCTGATCTTGCCACCATTGGTACCACAGCAAATTTTGTGTGTACATATACACTGATCTGCCTCATGCAAAAATGAGTTCATGAAAAAGGCCTATCTGGAAAATACATCCTTGCATTAAGAAGCAATCTGAAGTATTGCTAATCCTGGCTACAGCATGATCCCAGAACACTTAGATCACAGTTCCATGGTAGATGAGCCTCTAGGAATGCTGCCCTGTGGAGAAAGGAGAGCTAATCTTCTCTATCCATTCTTTCAGCTGGACTTTCAGCTTATCATTCTTTACTTAGGGAACTGTGCATTTTAGTGCACTTTTGGAACACTAAGGGGTAGGAGAGATCCTTTCTCCATCTCTCAGAGAAGGCTGAGAACACACCCTGCTTCAAGAACAGCACAGAGGACTTGCATGTTTGCCTCTACATGCCATTCACTCATCTAATAACCTCCTGCCTCTTTACACAGAAAAGCCTTTTGAAGAGCTTGCCAAGATTTCTGCCAGGTGGCATCATAAGTGAATTTCACCACAGCTGAGGGCCTGACAAGCTTTGCTGGACAGGAACGTAAGATACTTAAAACACATATATATACGTAAATTTTTATTGTAAGCCTTCTTGCATTAACAGATTTCAAACGGAGCAGCAGCATGGCATACCTGGCGCTTCCCCCGCCTGTCCCTGCCTGCAGGCTCCTCCTGGAGCAATGCCCCATCAGCCCAGAGAGCGGCTCTGCGCTCCGGGCAGCGCCACTCCACCAGAACCACTTCCCCTCCTCTTCTTCATCCCTCCCGCCCGCTCTTCACCTTCCTCAAACCTGCGGCCACCTGAGCCGGGCGGGGCAGCTCCGCCCCGCCTGGGCGCGGGGCCCCGGGCGAGCTGGGGTGCGCACGGCTTCGCGAGGAGCCGGCATGGAAACGGAATCGTTCCTCGGAGTGAGTAAAGCAGCGGCGAGGGAGGGAGGGATGGAGGGATGGATGGAGGGATGCGGCCCCTCGGGGGGTCCGGCCGCGGCAGGCGGGCAGCGCAGCCCTGGTCCCTGGCGGCCCCCTCCTCGGGCACTGCTCCTCACAGGCTTTCCTACAACTCCCGTGAGGGATTTTTTTTAGCTTCTGGGTCGGCTGCAGCGTATGTGTTACTGATGTCATCATGAATGGTTCTTTAATTATATCTGCCTCCCGGAACTGCGTTGGCCGGGGTTTGGCCATGTCCCAGCGCTCGGGGCCGGCGGGGCGCAGCTCCTCCGGGCGAGGGACAGTCAGCGCGATGCTCTCGGTGTCCTGGGGCTGGAGGATGGGGATCTCTAGCGGCTTTGCACGTCTGCGTGTTGTATTGCTTGTTTATTGCATGTGTCCCGGCAAAGTCTTCAAAATGTAATTGCTGCCTGTATGCAGAGCACCCAGGGAATGTCAGGCAGCTGTTATGAACAAGGGAAGCGGGGGGTAGTTAGGATAGGCTGTTCCTGATGGAAGCCAAATGCCCACCAGAGTCTCTCTATTATTCTCCTGCTCAGCAAGAGGAGAGAAAAATGTAATGGCAGGCTCATAGGCCAAGATAAGGACAGGGAGAGATCACTCACTAGGTATCATCACAAAAAAAGGCAAAGCAGACTCAGCTTGAGGAAAATATTGAATTCATTACCAATGAAATCAGAGTAAGCTAATGAGAAATAACCAGCAAATCTTAGAACACCTACTCCTCACCCCTCCATTCTTCCAGGGTGCAACCACTTCTGATTTCCTGATTTCCTCTACCTGCAGTGGCACAGGAGGATATAGAATTGGGGCTGAAGTCAATTCATCAAGTATTGTCTCTGCTAATCCTTCCTCCTCAGGGGGAGGACCCCTCACACTCTTCTGCTCCAGTATGGGGTCCCTCCTATGGGAGACAGTCCTCCACAGATTTCTCCAATATCAGTCATTTCCAAGAGCTGTAGTCCTTTGTGATCTGCTCACATGTCTGTGCTTGCAGGACTGCAGTGTCTTGGTCTTGCTGTTTCTGCTCTCTGCTGGCTTTCCTCAGGCCCACCAGGACACTTTTTGTGAGAGTTCTGGTCCTGCAGAGGCTGGGGCACTGATGGCAGCTGTGCTACCCATGGGCTCTGTCTGGATAATGCCAAGGGATCTCGTGTACAGCTCAGTAAAGGCAATTGCAGGGCTTGATGCCTCTGCAGGAACTTCTTCAGCAGCTGCTATCCTGTCTCCGTGGTGAGCTGGAGAAAGGGACCATCATGGCAGAAACCCAGCTTTTTCCTGTCAGCTGTGAGGCTATGCCTGCGTTAGCCCAAGCAAGGCAGTGAGAGCACATGGCAGGAGAGTGGCAGCAAGCAAACCTGCACCCTTGGATGCATCCCAGGGGTGCTGTCAGTGCAAAGGAGCCTGGGCCAGGACAAGGTGTGACTGCCTGCCAGGGCTTAAGTGTCTTGCTATGGGTCCCTGGGGTGATGGGTGCCTGCTCTGGGAGAGCTTGGGTGGCTTTGGGGTATTGGAGAGCCCCAAAAGCTCTGGAAAAGGAGCTGCAAATCTCCCTACTCAAAAGAGGAAAAGCAATGCTTATAGTCAGGTCTCTATGTCTTCATAAGCACCTGCACAGGACCTGCATAAGTGCTGCCATATGCTGGGGTGTTGCAACCTCACAGCTGCTGTCAGTTTCAGAGCTGGAGAAGAGAGACCATCCAGTCTTTAGAAACAGAAGTGCTGTTTTAAGCACCTGCAGCCCCTGTCCACGCTGATGCTACAGAGTAGCATCAGTAGCATCTCCTCTGGTACAGAGACCAGAGGAGAGCAGCTGTGGGTGAGCAGCGGTGTGCAGTGTGATGAAGCATGAAACAGCAAAAGGTGACAAAATGAGCTGCAGACATCTCTTGTCTGAACAAGGGTCTGTGGGGGACAGAAGCTCATCGCATTGAAGTGCAGAGCCAGAGGATGTGTGAGTTGATCTGCCTGAGATCTGAATATTTTTCCAAGAATAGGAATAGCTGACATGGCATATAGAGACCAGATGTTTCTTTTAGCTCAAAGATGCACTGAAGGCACAGCAAGGCAGGCTAGGCAGGTAATGCTTTGTGCATTGGCTGGTATAAAAGCAAATTCTATCTTTTTGTGTGGTATGGACATAAAACTTTGGAATGCAATTCCTAAAGTTGCCTTTCAGATGACCCTATGGAACTGTCAAAAGAAAAAAAAAAAATGCACCCTGTTTAAGGAAATGTTTTTCACATAAGCACTGTGGCTCCTCCACTATATGAGGGAAAAAGAAAAAGAAAATAAAAAGAAACCAAAACAACCTCCAAGGAGAAACAATCTTGAATTAATGTGCTAAGATGCAGCAAAAGTGACCAGGGACCAGTGCTGGTGTTTGCAGAGTACAAAACCTCAAAAATACATATCTGACTGAGATTGCTGTAGCAGACAAGAAGGAATCATTTACATTGGCAGCTTTTAAAGACAGCATTAAAAAGGAAGCTGTGATATTGGTATTGGTAATCGCTGTGCCATCACTGTGCCAGAAGAAACTCTCACACTAGCTGTGACAAAATAAAGCCTTGAAAGCAGTGAAAAGAAGGAAGGCTCTAATTCCCAGACGACCACCTGAACTGGGGACATCCTAGAGAAAAAAACCCAAAACACAGAGAGCTTATTTTTGTGTTCTGCACAATTCAGGAGATCATAAAATGAAAAATGGACAGGAAAACTCTAGTAGGCCCTGGTGATGCCATGATTTCTCATCTGGGTTTCCTCCTCTGGCACTCCTGCATGACCACTGCAAATTTTGCAGAAGATCTTAGAGAAGAACAGTTCCAGAGTAGTTTCAGGAAGGTCAGATCAAACTGATATACTGAAAATACTGAAATACTTATGATCATGGACTTGCAGGGGTGATAAAAACATCTCTGGTGTTCTCCAAAGCAGGACTAAGGAGAGGAAAGTTTCCCTCTTTAATCCCAGATGCTGGCATGATCTGCAAATCCAGTGCCCTGACATCTTTGTAAAAGCTTTTCATAGAGGTACTCCTGTGGCCTTACCTTCGAGGTAAGTGTTCTGTAGGGACCTGAGGGTAGCAGACTTGTCCCAGCCTTGCCATCAGTCCCATTGCTGTGCTCCTGGGACTGCAAAGGGTAAAGGAATGCATGCAGTTCTACACGGGAGGGAGGTAGTCCTTGTGATTTCACAATAGCCAATACAGACAGCAATTTCTCCATACCAATTAAACTGTGTATATTTGTCTTGGCTCAGTTTTTTCTTTCACTTGGTCAGTTTGCAAACCTGAAGCTGGAATCCACCCTTTAGCATTGTTCTGGGAGACAGTGTTATCAAAGGCAGCATATATTGTGGCTGACAAGCTCTTGACATTTTTCTGTAACTACTTGAGAGAAGGGCTGGCATTTTTTAACATCTATAAATTCTTCCTACGCAGGTGCAATGTCATTAATTCAACTGCAGTATATAGAATTGTTTATTGGATTTCTTTTCTTTTTTCCTCCCAGAACACCCTATGAAATCCCAGAGCACATACCAATGGAAGGCCCTTTGCAAACCTTCGTTCACGTGTGCCATGAAAATGGTCAGTGGATGTCACGCTTACCAGAGAAGCTCTGGGATATTCCCCTCTATAACTTAGCACTTCCAGGTAAAGATTAGCTTTTGTTCTCCACGGTTTTGTTAGCTTGCTGTTTAAGCATTGGAATATCCTGTTTGTCCCATTTCAGGATGGCTATGTTTATTATTTGGGTTGGTGTGTGGGGGAGGGTTTGTATGATGTTATGTGAATAATGTTGGTCTGCAATGTTTGAGGTTTCTTAGAGGGTAGGGGTAACAAAGGAATTTTTTATTGTTTTTTTAGAAATGAAAAGAAAGAGGCACTTTGCATCATCTTGTCAGATACTATTAATAATCTAAGGAATAGCTTATTTGGACAATAATAAAATTTCTCTAATTAATTCTTGTGATTTTCTATGTAATGAAATGCTTCCAGGAGGGGAGAATAAATATTTTACATTATTATTTTTCTTTGTACTGCCTAAAAGAGGCTGTGAAGCTGCAGAAAAAGGAGAAACGAGACTTGTAATTAACATGTTTTTATTAAAGTAGACTGTTAGTTTTCTACAAGATCCAGCTTATAAAAACTGTATTTATTGTATTATGTGAAAATGCATTTAAATGATAACTGTATATTATTAACCTTTCTTTGGTCCTATTATTGCTTCTTTCTGGTGCCTTGATTTTTTTCCCCTCTCATTCTGTCCAAAAAATTTATGGTATAATGTGATTTCACTGACACATGGGGAGGCACTGAAGGACCATCAGCTCTTGAGTGATTCCCTTTGCCTCCACATCAAAAATGTCACTAAAGAAAAGTCTAGCCTGTGTTTTCTCTCACACCTGCAGATGTGACAGGTAGATTGCGGGGAAAGCAGCACAGTGTGTAGATGAATGTTTTATGTAGGCCACAAGATCATAGGTTAATTAATTTAGAGATAGTGTAAAGTTCTTGTCTTCAGCAGACAGAGCCCTGGGAGAATCCAAGAATTGTAGTGTTTTGGCTTTTTTCTGTCTGTTGTGAACCAATGGAGTGTGGAGTTCCCATTAAGGTTGTAACCAAGAAAATGATTTCATGGAGGCTTCTTAGATAATGTAATTTGAATTGATGTTAACTTAAAAACAAGCACATTTCTGTTTAGGATAAAGCCTATGTAAGGCTTTATATATTTAACTATCAAGAGAGGAAAAAAGAAAATACATATCTGTCTTATGACTGATGAAAGAAAGTAATAGTCTTCTCTTTTCTATTTTTGTTCCTATTGCAAAAATCATTCAATGCTCAGTGGGATTTTGTTGTGCTAGAAAAGGAGCCATATTGTTTCTATAAGACTTCAATCTGGTGTTTCTTGGCCATCATAGAAAGTGGAGAACCTGCTGATGGGTTTGTTTGCCTTCCTGGCCCTTTTCCGAAGGGTGACCATGTTATTCTTGAAAATGTTTGTTGTTCTTGTGAATATGCCTGCAGGGAGAACAGGCATGAAGAACAATTGAAGGCATGTCCATTTCAGCAAACATTAGAGGACTTTTACAGAGCATTGCAGGCTATTGGCTTGGAATATTTTGGTGTCTGTCCAGCTGACCTACAAAGCTGATCTAGCCCAAGTCAGAACACAAACAGATCAAGACCAACCAGGTCAAGACAGCACCGGCAGGTTTCCAGAGGGAGGAAACCCAGTTTGGAAGCTTATCTCATAGAAGGCATGCAAGAAACATGACAGAGTGGATTCTGACAGCCTGATGATGAGACAGTGGCACATCTCATTAATTAGTGTTGTGCTTGCACCAGATTCAGCACAGTGCTGCTGGGGAGGAGTGGATTCAAGGTCTGGAGCTACCTGGCTTGGTACTAACTCACTATCTTTGCATCATATATGTTGTGTCATGGATGTACCCATCTTCCTTTCATTACTGTTACTCATGACATCACACAAGACTAATGAGTAAAAGATTACTATCCGTTGGCTGGTTGGCATCCACAGATGCAACACCCATCAATGGAATCCTGCTCATCTCTCTCAGACATGGATATTTAATAGTTTGACTCGTACATCTTCTAAAACATACTTCTTTTATTGCCTGCCCTCAATACTGATCTTCCATTTGCAGTAAGTGTGTTTTGGGTGTTTAAAGCAGCAAAATAAATAAAAAATGGCTTTTAGAAGGTGAAAAAATTGAGACATCAAACTATTATTGACAGTTCCAAAGAATTTTTACTTCCAAACCAATAATTTTTACTTTGTTTGCTAGAAATATTATCGCTGGCACCAGTAAGACTGACAATTCAAGAAAGCAGTTCCTAGCACCAGTGAACAATTAATTTGACAGAAGACTTAAACCCCAAAATGATAAGCAAATTCTTTGCAGATACTTTGTTAAGATCCAAGCAAGTCACTTCACAGAGTTGTTAGCTTTTCTTACTGATGCTTTATAAAACTGGAAGAAATAATGGAACAGAAAAGCTAGCAAAATCACTGGTTTCCTGTAATGATGAAATTGTGAGTTGCAATAGTTTCATCTAAACATGATGCAAGAGATGTGTCAGATTTATTAAGACTCCAAGGAAATAAAATATTTGGGCAGATTGGTCCTGGCTCTGATGCCTGCATAATTCCCTGTGCTGGAAACAGGTAACTTTTCAAGTCCATCAAATGAGGATCTTGTTCATCTTTCACTCTTAAACTTAGACTTGGATTTGCCTCAGAAACCTGCAAGAACCCACCTTATTTGTTGTTTTTGTAGGGGTGGTGGTGTTTAGTTCAGAAGGACATTTTTAGATATTTAAGATATAAGTAGTTAAAGTGCCAAGTTAAGTACTGGTCCAGTCAAAGGTGTAAGAAGATGAATTTGTTATTTCAGTCATATTTTCCTGTGCAGAGATGAGGGTATTGGACAATGAAATCCTGCATTTGCACAACTCTGAAAACAGGACAATTTGTAGATAAATTCAGCCGAAAGCTGAATTTTTTCACTATAAGAATGTTTTCACATCAAGATAATTATTTTGAGGGAAGATACCATTTGAAACAGACCATTTTATTGTGGTTTGGGGCAAACAACAGCGATGTGTAATTTAGACGGTTTACTGAAAAGTGTCAATGCCTTCCTTTCACAAAGATTTCACACTAAACTTATTAATGTTACATGAACAACCTCTGTAGACAATTCTACCTTTTCGCCATAACTACAGAGGCTATCAGAGAATATAGGTGTGTGGCTTGCAAATGTGGTGGACTTATCAGGTGTGCACATGAAATGTAGCCATGGCATGTGGTCTTAAACAGTTAAGAAATGAGATTTCTGTACATTCATTTTTGTATTCTACAGGGAGTCACGACACTATGACCTACTGTTTGGATAAAAGCTCTGCTGTTAGTGGCAATGAGTCCAAGCTGGTGAAGTTTTTAAACAAATGTCTGCCCTGCATTGTGCACCCCATTATCATGAAGTGGTCTATAACACAGGTAACCATCATCTGGCGCTTCTTGCCTTGGCAAAGTTGAAGCTCGTGCAGCAGGGCTGAGAGTGTACAATGACAGTATAGCCTGCTGCCCAGAAATCTGTGCTGTCATGAGATGCTATGCTTGGGTGCTGTGGTTTAACTGCAGCAAGCAGCTCAGCCCTGCACTGCTGCTTCTCGCTGCCCCTGGGTGAGCTAAGGGATGGAATTTAAGGATAAAAGCTGGAGAACTTGTGGGTTGAGATAAAGACCTTTTAATAGGTAAAGCAAAAGCCACATGTGCAAGTAAAGCAAAATAAGGAATTAATTCACCACTTCCCATGGACATGTAGGTGTTCAGTCATCTCCAAGAAAGCCAGGCTCCATGGCGTGTAACAGTGTCTTAACAGGACAAACACCATCACTCTGAACATCCCCCCTCTCCTTCCCCTAGCTTGATATGATGAGCATGACTCCTTATGATGTGGGATATCCCTGTGGTCAGTTAGGATCAGCTGTCCTGGCTGTGTCCTCTCCCAAATTCTTGTGCACCCCCAGCCTCCTTGCTGGTAGGGTGAGTGGCAGAAAAGGCCCTGACTTCATGTAAGCACTTTTCAGCAGCAGCAAAAACAACCCTGTGTAATCAACGCTGTTTCCAATACAAATCCAAGCCACACTTCCATTCCAGCAAATATGAAGAAAATTACTCTTTCTAAATCCAGCACTTTGGAGTATGAGATAGGAGCCATACACATCTGATCATCTTTTCTGGGGAAAAAGCATACAAGGGGATGCAGGGATGATATTTAAAGTTGTTTAAAGCTGACCACTTGGTACTAGAAGCCATTTTTCATGTTCATTGTGGTGGTCAATAACATTCAATATTAGTGAATAAAATTAATGAATAAGAAAAACAGAGTTTTTTTTTCCTCTTGAACTTTGTTCATGAATTTTGCTTGTCATTTTAGCTGTCACTGTTCTGTGAGATGTCAGTTGTTCAGTTGTTCTCCCCACTTACACTGGGTGTTTCACCAGCAGCAGAAAGAGAAGAATCCCTTATTGAAGGGATTTTTTTTTTCCCATAAAGATTAAGAGAGTGAAGATGTGGTCCATCGCATAAGGTTTAATTAACTTTTTAAAATGTGCAAATATTAAGCTAGTAGCTATCTCTTTGTTCCTCATAAATGTATGTTAAAGACAAAATTGCAGATCATGATTTAAGCTACAGCTTTTGAAGATTCTTCCAAAGAATAGACTTTCCTGAAGTCAAAGAGGTACGAAAAATCTTTCTATTTTTGTTCGTATTGAAGGAGTAGTTCATGATTAGATAATTAAAGGGAATAATTAGCATGCAATAAGCATGCTAAGGTTGCTTTTGTTTGTTTGAGCAGGTCTGGCAAACTGGAATCTTAGACACTACCAGGTATCAAATATGAGCTGGCAATCATGAGCTGATGTTGAAGGGCACTTGCTTAACACAGATCCTTGTTTATTTTGAGCTGCTTTTTTGGGGGGCCTTTAGCCAATGAAAGATTTAGAAACCTACTAATGTGTGGGTTTCTGTCTGGCAAAGTGACCGTGTTGGTGACAAACAATCTCTTAACATCATTATAATAATTTCGTGGTCCAAACCCAGTGTGACATGCAGGAAGTGGCCCAGTGCTGATAAGGAAGAGGCACAGCTACAATCCTGCCCCTCCTTAGCTCTGCTGTGCTCCAGTTATCTATGTGGGGAGATGACTCCACTCATTGGAATGCAGAACAAACACTGGGGAGCCCTTCTGATGGTAGGATGCACAAGTTCCTGGATGGCCCAGTGCCTGGGAGTTGCCTGCTTGAGCCCCAGTTGTTATGGCTGTCAGGCTAGAGGGCCAAATGTTTCCTTTGTAATGGCCATGTAACTTCCAGTCATGCCCTGGATGCCTGGTGTGAGATTGCTCCTCAGGGCTTCTTTTTGAATTTTGCCCTTTATGGGGCAATGTTCACACTGCCTAATTCAGTATTCAAACCCAGGTCACTAATTAGAGACTCTAATTTGTTTGATTTCCCTGTGTAGTCAACAGATAAGAAATGAATTAATCTGAAGGGCAGTTCAGAACAGCAATTTCATTTGGTGCTTTTTCTGGCCACAGAGGTTATAAATGACCTACAGCCATGTACGCTCCCATCTCCAACATACTCCAAGCAAAGGGATGTGGATCATCCCTCCGACTGCTTCAGCCTGGTGGAGACCAAGCAGGCCCAGGAGGAGCTGTGCCCAGACCCACTGCACCCCCTGAACTGGGGCACGCAGGGCTGCTCTGGTCCAGCCCAGCCCCTTGGGCACAGCCTGGGCAAGCTAAATTCAAGTCCAAAGAGCAGGAAGTTAGGGGGTTAAACTAAGCAAGGTGAGCATCCTGCCATGTGCCTAAAGCTACAAATTTGGATATTCAAGAGCAATGCCTTGTACTGATTTAGCTTTCACTGAATCCTTTCTAACTTAAATCAGTATCATGCATGGTTTCTGCAACATAAATTTTTATCCCTAGCAAGTTGAACTAAGATGAACTAGTGTTTAAACATATTTAATTAAATTGATTCTATTTTCTTTTGCTAAGAGAGTCTTGATATAAGGAAAAGACATATAATTTGGAACTTCATGCCTCAGAAGCAGCTTTATCACCTGTTCTATTCAGCCCTCAAATCCAATGGAAGTGCTCTGAGGGAAGTGGATTTATAGGAGTGCCTCTGTTTTGTAGGACTTCTACAGGTTAATTCAAACTTCATAAGAAACTATATCTTGAAAAAGAACAACAGCCAGTAGCTTTTTCTATTTTTGTTTTTCCTTCTGTTGCGGATATGTGAGGTCTGCAGAGACAACCATGGTAAAATCTTTGATCTAATAAGATAAATACAGCATTTCTAACTTGCTGATCCTGCAATTATTTTTTAAATGAATAGTTGTGTGAAGAGCAATCATGTATTTGTGCACAGGTTAATTATCTTTAACTTTCAGAACACAACAAGGGCAACTGTCTTAAATTAATCTAATCTGTACTTGCAGTTTGTGCTGCAGGGAAATTGGAATCCCTCTTGTCAGAGAGCAAAATTCTTCCAAGTTGCAATTTGGTGCCATACAGTAACATTTTAAAGATGAAAGACGTGAAAAATGCCATAGGTCTAACTTTGTATCCCTCTTTTAGATTTCTAAACTAAAGAAACAAATCTCTTTCAAGCTCTCAGGACCTTTGTCTTCTGTTTCACTTTCAGGTCCTGACTGTGACGGAGCAACTTGAGGCTGGAGTTAGATACCTGGATTTTAGGATCGCCCACAAGGCTAATGATCCTTCTATGAATTTGTACTTTGTGCATATGGTTTACACAACTGTTACTGTTAAGGTATTTTCCTTACCTTTGTGATGGCTATAAAATCAGTGCTATTTTTTCATTTAAGGGCCATCATAATCCAGAAATGCTGGCTCAAGGTCTTCTGAGTAGATTATTTGTTTTTCTTTTGTGAGGACTTCAAACTAGAGAAAATCAGCAGGGCTGGAAGTTAGTTTCAGCACCTGCATGTGATACTGGAGCACCAATCTTTTCTTCATTCTCAAACCAGACTCTTTGTGCCTGCTCTCCACTGCCTATCCCCTACCACATGCCTGATGTTCTGGGGTTTATCATGTGTTGTCCCAGGATGATACACATGGCATTCCTGTTTCCCTGTGTTTGGAAAACAGGGAAAGGAGAGAAGTTGTTAAAGGCAAGAAGGCATTAAAAGCCCTATATAATTACAGAAACGGATTTTTTTGTTGGTTTTTTGAGAAAACACAGTTTTTCATTATTGTGATTGTGAGTCTGCTCCACCATCACTGCTCTGTTGATTGTATGTCCTTGCCCCTGCATAGCACAGATAACTTTCTAAGCTGCCGTATCTCTTTCCTGTAGGATATTCTGAGGGAAATATTGAGGTGGTTAGAAACTCATCCTCAGGAAGTTGTTATCATAGCCTGCAGGAATTTTGATGGATTAACCAAAAGACTTCATAATCACCTTGTTGCCTGTATAAAAGAGATTTTCCAGTGTAAACTGTGTCCTAGAAATGTAAGTATGAAATCCTTTTTTTCTCATTTTAAAAGAATGATACACCACAGTGAGATATTTGATTGCAAATTTTTAGATATATTCTACTTTCACCATGTTTTTAACCTCAGAAAGGTACTTTTTGCTGCATCAGAGATAGGTCATTACCTAATAGAACTGAGGAGATAAAGCAAACCTGCATTCCACAGTGTGGAGGAGGGAATTAAATTTGACTGTTATGTCTGTTGAGTTGTGGGACAATAGTAGAGACAACTGCCATCCATTGTCCTGTCTGAGTTTTCTTGGAAACGAAAGGGGAAAGAAGAGAGAAAAGAGAGGAAAATGAAAGAAAAAAGAAAGGAAGATAAAAGTTGTGCATCTTCTATATTTATAGAATCTAAAGAATCCATTTTCTGCCTTTTCACAGCAATAATTATAAATAAATTTTAAAATTAATTTTTATCTATTTAATTTTTTTCTATTTAAAACAGTTTAGATTGGAAGTGACCTCTGAAGGTCATCTGGTCCAACACCACCATGCAAAGTAGGATCAGCTTCTAAGTTACACTGGGCTGTGCCCTGTTCATTCTTGATTATCTCCAAGGATGGAGATTTCACAACCTTTCTATGCAAAATTTGACCACTCTCCCAGTAACTGTGTTTTCCTTCTCTATCTGATCAGAATCTCTCTTGTGTCTGCTGACTTCCATCCTTTGCTGTGCATATCTGAGGAGTCTTCTCTAAATTTCCCACTGCATATTTGCAGATGGCAGTAAAACTGTCCAGTCTTCTCTTTTCATGCTGGACAGACTCAGCTCCCTCAGCCTGCCCTTGTGTGTCATGCTCCAGCCTCTGCTCCAGCCTCTGCTCGCTCTGGTTTCACTCACTGGTGTGCTGCTGGATTCACTCCAGCTTGTCAGTGATTTCTTTGTACTGGGGAAGCCCCAGCTGGAAACAATACTTGAGTTGCAGTCCCACAACTGCTGAATAGAAGGAAAGATCCCCTTTTTTTCATTTGCTGTCTGTGCCTTTGCTAATAAAGCCCAGTTCACAGTTACCCTTTGCCAGGCGAGCACTACTGGCTCATGTGCAGCTTGATGCCTACAAGAATCTTTAGGTCCTTTTCTGCAAAGCAGAACCTTGCCAGCTTCCACCAGTCTGTCCTGGTGTGTGGGGTTAATCTGTTTAGGACTGTGCATTTGCTTTTGTTGAGCTTCATGAGGTTTCTGTCAACTTATTGGGGTCCCTCTCTGCCCTCAGTGAATTTCTGGTGGCATTGACTTTCCTGGTGCTGACCTCCTAACCAGTCTTACAGTTACCCATATCTCCAGAAAAGCCTTAATTTAAATAATGAGAAAATATTTGATTGCTAGATTTTAGAAGTTGAGACTTATAGCTTCCTCTGTTTTTTAAAAGGTGTGGGAGATTTTAGTAGTTAAACAATTAACATTTCAAAGATGCAGAGGAACAGAGGGTGTTCTCTGGAGAGCTCAGTGGTACAGGAGAATGATGACCCTGTTTGTGATTCAAATTCAGCCTTTGAAGCTGGTGTATCAGTAACATGTGAATATTACCACTTCAAAGCAATTTGTAAAGCAGAGTTAAAATAGAACAATTCTCAGCAAAACTAGGGGATTCTGAATATTCAGGCCTTGGCTGAATAACTGAAGACCTGAGTGACACTGTTCTATTGTTTCCCCAAATAACTTGAGTGTGTAAGTTGTGGATGAGCAGAGATACTGGAGAAGGTGGTCAAATATGCTTTCAGACACACGGCCAGCTCTTAAAAAGGAGAAAGGTACTGCAAAAGGGGCAAGTTACGGATGACAATTTGATGAATGAAAGTATTGAAAGAATGGTCTGAGATCACTTCATGGAAGAAACAACATTTCTGAGTTGTGTCCAGAAGGATGGAGGAAGAGAACTGAAGAAAAGACAAGCCAAGTACTTCCCTTGAGTAGGAAAACTTTATATCTATGTGGTCTGTGACCAGCACAATGGATCTCATAATTTTTGCTAGTGGTACCATTGCACATTAGGCATCTGTGGGGCTTTTCAGGATCACAGATTTAGATTTGCCATCAAATATCCAAGTGCTTGCTGACTCATTAAAAAATAAACTGCTACCTACTGCCTTTCAAGACTGCATCTCTGTTGTCATACAGAATTAAGTGTCAAAGTGAAGCAGCTGCTCAGGCAAGGTCTGTATGTAGTACTGGCACAGGCCACAGCGTGACAATATTACACTGCATTTAAAATTTTAATTGTCTTAACTATTCGAGGTGTATTCCTTTGATCTGAATTACTAGGGTTTAAAAATCCCTTGTTAGACTTTCATTTCTGCTTTGTTTGCAAAATAAGCACCTGTGTTCACATACACATCTCTGGTAGCTTTTTTTTTTTTTTGCTTTTATTGCACATTTTTGCTTGTTTGTTTAAGAAGTTCCAGTTTTAGAAAGACAGCTGAAGTAAAGCAAAGGCTTCAGTCAACCACAGAATTTTGTAGCTTAAGAAGCTCGTGCCTTAATTTTGCAATATTAACCAACCTAATGGAAGCTTGCATTCTCTCTTTGTGGATGAACTGAGAGGGATTAATTAAACTCTTAGCTTTCTTCAAATATTTACATTATTAATTTTCAAGTGCCTTTGGCTTTTATTTAAGTTAATAACTTAACAGGAACATCAAAAAGCCACCATTTCTTTTTCACAACAGCAAATGTAGTTTTTAACCACAACATTCTTAGAAAAAACAATGCCCATTAAATATGTCGGTTTTGCAAATAAAACTAGTCAGAGGGCACCATTTCTCTCCAAGGGTAACTTCTGAGGTTGGAAAATGCAATTTCATATTGAGACAGCTAAATTTAACAGCTGTTTTAGCCCATCTGTTCTCTGATAGAGAATATGTCTGACTCAGGTCTTCTCTCTCAATTAAAAATGTCTGGAGCATCCCAATTTCATAAACTTTCCACTTAGAGAAATGAGAATTGATGTAGCTTTTGGTGACTCACATTTAGACTTACCAAGTTTTAAGCAGTTCAGGTTTCTTTGGAGGTTACTGTGCTAAATTTGCATCAATGTGCGGAATCTGCCGAAGTGATTCCTCCTTTCTCTCTCTCTCTGCATTCCTGCAGCAGATGGTCTCTATCTTCCTCCCCTAACAAACTTTCAGCAGTGGCTTGTGCATGAGGGCTGACACAGGGATGTTTTCCTATTGTGCAGGTGTAAGACCTTGAGTTACATACATGATCACAGTTGTATTATTTGAGGAAGGGAGGAATTTACTGAAACTCCTAGAGTCCTATTGCTCTGCAGCTTGTAAATCAGCCCATCACCTACTGGGCTGCTCATTTAAAAGTTTTATCCGAACTGAATCTGTGCCAAAGTGATGTCACACATCAGTATTTGGACTTTGGGAACACTGCTATGTTGCTGACTTCAATGTGGGCATGCTTCCTTTTAGGTGGTGCCAACACTGCGGACCATGTGGCACCTCGGCCATCAGGTTATAGTCTCATATGAAGAGGAGGTGGAGCTGGGAAAGCACTGTGAGCTGTGGCCCCCCATCCCATACTGGTGGGGAAACAAAACATCCACTCGTGCTCTTATCCGGTATTTGGAGCTCATGAAGCGCGTGGGCCGGCCAGGTAGGCACGGGGAGTTCACTCGGAGGAGAGAAGGGGCACTTACAGCAATGCAAAACAAGTAGGAAGCTGGGCAATTGTTGCCTTATGGGATATAACCACTCAGTGTGTGCTGTGTGCCCATGGCTGCTGAGTGCTCTGCCCGCCCCTGGGCGAGTGCGACGCTGTCCTTGGCAGCGTGGATGCTGTCAGTGTACGCGCACGCACAGACTACAGAGATTGCGGCGGCCACCTTGCTCGTGTGACCCACAGAAAGGGAGCCCTCAGTGCAGACCCATTAGTTGGCCCAGTTGTGCCCACCTCATGGGCAGGAAGCTGCTTCTTCAGTCCAGTCCTTGTCGCTTTAGGCAGCAGAGACGGTGAGAGGAGTACATTCCACTAGCCTTGTTGTTAAAGGAAGCCCCTACAAGGTTTCTCTATGGGGAGACCTTATCACTCTCTACAGCTACTTGAAAGGAGGCTGTAGCAAGGTGGATATTGGCCTCTTCTCGCAGGCAACCAGAAGAGGGAATGCTGAGGTTGGAAATCAAGAAGAATTTCTTCACTGAAAGGGTGGTTAAGCATTGGAATGGGCTGCCTAGGGAGGTGGTGGAATCACTATCCCTGGAGGTGTTCAAGAAACAATGGGATGTGGTGTTGTTTGGTCAGATGATGGACTCGATGTTCTTGAAGGCCTTGTCCAACCTTAATGTGATATAAGAGCAGTATGAGAAGGGTGTAGCTGCACATTGCACAGCAGCACTCAAGCATGCTGGTGTAGTGTAATCTGACAGAGGTTCAGTTCAGAACCCCTGGCACGCGTTTGAAGTGAAGGCACAGCGTGGTGACGAGGGAGCCGTTTCAGAAGCACACTCCCCAGCCGAAGGGTGCACCCTGTGCTCCCATCCACCGCGGGGGAAGGCCAAGCATTTGGAAGCAACCCTCACAGAAACAAACAGAGGAGTAATTTACAGAGGAGGACTAATCAGTGGAGAACCTTTAGACTGCAATGATTAACTAGACAAATTTAGCTAAACTGGAATGTTTGGATAACCGAGCGTGGCTCAGGAATTGTTTACTACAGCATGCAGCTGCCACAAGGGGAAACAGTTGTAGGGACATGAAACAATACAGAAAGAGTGTGAAATTAGTATTTTAATGATCCCCAATGGAATAAGATGTGAAGGTAATACAATACTGAAAAGTTTCTCTTCTCCTCAAAAGAGTATTTAATGTGTCACTTTCTGATTTTTGTTTCAGGAAAATTCTTTGTGGCAGGGATTAACCTTACTGAAAATTTAAGGTATATTCTTGTACACCCATTTGGTTCATTGAAGAAAATGACACTCCAGAGTCTTCCATGTTTGAAAATATGGATAAGGCAGCAGTATCCAGGACCAAAAAAAAAATGTATTAACATCATTGCTGGAGACTTTATAGGAAACAATGATTTTGTCAAAGATGTGATAGAACTTAACACAAAAATTAATCCTCCATTGCACTGTCAAAGTGAACTGGAACAAATAACATTTAATTCTCATCTTCTTAATCTGTGAAAAGTAAACAAAGCTTTGTCTGCATTTATTGTGCCCTGCTGTAAACATCCTGACTCTCATAAAGGTCCAATTAACTAAAACCAGGAATGTCTTAGTAGGAAAAGGTCTCAACATCATCAGGGTTTTGAGGCCTTTGGACAGAAAAGAGGGCAGGTACCTTGCTGAAGGCTCTAGAGAACTATGGCATAGGTGTAATTTTTTTGGAGATGCTTTGATTCTGTAGCAGCTGTCATTACTGAAAGTCCCAAGAACTCAATCTTACTTTACATAGGACTAAGAAGGAGGAAAATATCAGTAGTTGCATGATTTATTGGTAAGATGTTCTCATTCTGACAATTGTAAGGATATTCTGCACTACTTGCCACCCAAATTCTTACTCTTTTATATCAGTCTGAAATTGACTTGTTGGTTTTCATAGTTTCTGTTAAACAAAAGGAACAATTAAAAATATTTTTGATGTATCAGAGATGCTGCACTGACAATCAAGTTTGAAATTATTTTTATATACATACCAATGTGCTAAGTATCAGTTGTGAGCTACCTTAAGAACATGATAGCTCCAAAATTATTTGGAATTTTTAAGAGGTAATTGAATTTGCACTTAATCATGCCAGTTCTGCAGGGATAAAGATACCAAAATGAAGCCCTTACACAGTTTGTCTGTGGTAGTTAAACATTTTACTAGGTGTTGACTAAGTATGCCTTACAATGAAAATAAACAAGAGGAAACAAATTCCTGATCTTAACTTGAACTGCCCTAGAAATACAGATTCTTGGCTTCTATCATGCTCATTTGGGGTTTCACACCTGGTCTTTTATTTAGCTATTTTAGTAGCTCTGTAATTACTTTTCCTCTCACTAAGTAGTTTTTGTGTATGTCAAAACTAAGAGGTTTATGCTATTTCCCATCACATACTAATTCTGTTTTTCTAAATGAACTGTGTAATAACAGATCATCATGAAGGCAATAGAAATGTCAAGCATCAGCACTAAAATAAAACCACTTATTGTGTAAAGTTCACTATGCAACTTCATCCATATACCTCACTATTTAGATGCACCTTATATATAAAAACTAAATTCAGATGTCTGCTAATGTTTGCAGAAGTTTTTCTGCCTATCTTTTGTGCCCTCTTTTGTGTCCTTGTTATTCTCAATAAAACTTGATCTCTCTCTGTAATATGGAGTGAAATAGTTTCATTATCCTTTCTGTGATATTGTTTTATTGGTTCTTAGTAGTAATTAATAACTGAAGAAATGGATTTGTTGTGGTTGTGGGTTTTTTTCCTTTTGTTTTCCTCTGTGAAAAGTTTTGCTGTACATTAATTGTTTTCTTCTAGAACTGACGTAGTAATTAGTATTGTGGATAAATTACTGTAGGCAAGAAAACTGTATGGGTAAAAGATGTTCACAGCTAACTTTATTTAATTCCTTAATTGATTTTTTTTTCTTCACTGCAATAACACATTGCAGTTATTTTACTTACATTCATGCATTCTGCTTGAACACATATTTATCTTCACTATTTATATATAACCAACAATATTTTCTTCACTAAGTTTAATTTTCCAAAGACCATCTGAAACACCTGAACTATAATAAATACTATTTTCTTCTGAAAAAGGCAAAAAAAAGCTTTATTGATGTGAAATAAGAAATTTGGTACTTTTCTGAAGGTTAAGTCAGATGCCATTCCATGCGTTTGAGGTCCGCAGCTTATAGCCAGCAATAGGTTTAACATAAAAAATTTAGTGCTGTCCTGGTATTTGCTGACAAAATTAAGCTCAAAGCTCTTATTGTTTCCATACAGAAGTTTTCTGAAACAGCATCCATTTCTAAAATGTGCCAAAAACATCAAGTAGGGAAGAAAAATAAACTATTCAGCAGTGAGACTTAACAGGTCATTCACTTCATTTCACATCGTCTTGAGGAGATCAGTTTCTTCTCGTAGAACAGGATGCAGTTTCATGAGATGAAAATCTCACTGTTGGGAAAGAGGTTTTTGTATCTGCCAAAAGCAGAACTGCTGATTATCACCTTCACCCTGGCTCTGCCGTCTTCAGGCATGACCTCTACTTCCTGAACTGTTGCTTCTTTATAGAGCCAACTGTAAATGTAAAAGCATATTAGCATCTTAAAAGTATGACATATTGCACAAAATGTGATCGTTGCTCTAGGTCAGAAGGTTCCTATCTAGGTAACACTTTAAAAGATTAAATGCTTTGCTTCACTTCTCTAATGGGGCTATTTTTTATCAATAGGTCACAAAAAATTGGTAATTATCTCTGTTATTCTTAACAGAGGAAGCAGATTAAAATCAATATGATATGACTTGAAAAGCTTCAGACATGAATGATTAAGTGTTTCATATTTCTCCAAATCTTTCACATGATTAAAAATTATTTACCTTAGTTGAGGTCCCTCTAAATTGATATTAACTGTTAGAATCTTCTTCCCTGTTGCTGTCAGTATTTTTTTCTCTATTTCTTGTTTCAGTTCCTCTAAACCATACCCATGCAGAGCAGAAACAGCTAAAGCATTTTCTTCAGTGGGTTTATACCTGAAAGAAAATTAATTGCTAGCACATTTCTTCATAAAGATTAGGTTGTGAGAATATTCCAAGCACGGACAATTTAACTGAGTTACTTTGTACTGACACCTTCTACAGAGGCCACTTCTTGTACGACTCAAGTGATTTCTTTTGTAATTAAGAGATAATTAATTCTTTTTCAGACCATAGTTACATATGTAAAAGACTGAGAAACACTATTAAATATACTCTGAAGTGTGGGATCTCTTTTCTACACTAAGAATTAAAAAGATTCCAGAACATAAGAAATGTTTAAGTACACTTAGCATCTCTTGCTTACCTTTCTGTCAAATCCACTTTGTTATGAACTTCTACTATTGAGTCCAGTAAATGGCTAGGAAGATTGAGATTCCTCAGAACTGACAGAACAGTTGCTTTCTGGAGGATGGTTTCTGGATGAGTAATATCCCTCACATGAACTATCAGATCCTAGCAAAGATCAATATACAACACCAGTTACCAGGTTGTAGAGACTGTATACCAGTTTTGCATTGCTAATTTTTGTAAAATATCTTCCTATCCATTTGGTAATACACTGGCAGATTAGCACTGTAAAATTAACTACTAAAACAATATTAAACTACTCTTTCTTAGACCATGATGGAAGAAAATCTGCAGCAGCTTAGTCTTCCACCTCTAGTCAGAACAAATTGCTTCCCACACACCTGAAGCAAATGTTGTCAGCCAAGCTAGTTACAGAACCAGATTTCAAATAATAACTGATACATCTTCTTCAAAGCCAAGGCTTTGAAACAATAAGGCTTCAAAACCACTGGAGATTATTAAAAAGAGCGATCTCTTGAAAAAAAGCTTTCAGAAGAGTAATGGCTGCAAAACTGTTTCAAAAACGAAGTGGAAAAAACCTCAATTTAACTTCTAATTCTATTTTTACATTCAAAATATAGAATATTATCCTTATGCTTAGCTTCTAGGATACTATTACTGATGCTTCACTAAAAAGCTTTATACAAAATTTGCCAGTTTCAAGTATATATATGTTTGCCATGATAAAAATCAAGCAACTAAACTCACCATTTGCATTCAAATTGTTTTATCATCTTTGCTCAAGACATTGCTTTAAACATTTGAAAAATAATTAGAAGTGACAAACAGAATGGTTTCAGCCAGCTTTTGAAAGCCCTGCTATTACATGGTTAAATCTAATCTTTAGCAGCATTTTGGTATCTAGCTACCACTGAATTCCATTACCTTTCATATACAGGGTTTTTGTTTAAATCTCTGTGTGTATGTATGCAGCTTTACACTCTGTTATAGCACAGGAAAACAACTTTAATGAGAAAATAACTGCTAAAGTACATTTCTATTTATTACATGCTGCCTGCATCACATCACAATCACCCACTTCTAGTTCTACAGGAAACCTTAAGTTAAAAACAAGGAATTTCAGATGCTTTATTTCATTTTTAACTCCCAGGAAAGCTAACCTTGACTCACTTAGATGCACTGTTCAGATATTTTATCAGAAAAATCTGCTTTATCTGGTTTAAGTATCATGGAGATGGACACATAAACTCCAAATAATCTCTTTCTGAAATCCCTTCATAGCTGTATTTTCTGCATAAATAAAGTATCAGAAAATTAGTTTAAAATATTTACATCATTATTTCAGGAGTATACTATAGGCAGCCAGATACTTTGCTAAGAACAGAATGCAAATTAACTTCCCCTGTTTTGAAGGGGTGAGCATTACCTAAAAGGAAATTAATTTGATGCCTCAATTTTTATAGTTGACTACTTACTGAGTAAGCCACTTCTTCTAGTGTAGCTGAAAATGACTCAACCAGATTATGTGGAAGATCAGTCAGAAACCCAATGGTGTCAACATAAATAACTGCCATATGTGAGGGCAGATAGCCAGCATGGGCTGTAATATCCAGAGTGGCAAACAGCTGATCCCTGGGTTGAAGTCCTGCTTCCCCAGTCAAGGCTTTGATCAAAGTAGTTTTTCCTAATTAAATAAAAAATGAGAATATTTTATTGGCTTCTTGCAAGTAAAATTTAATTTGCAAGGGTCAGGTGAAATGTATGATGTAACATTTATTTTTACATCTACTTGAATTCTTTAATTGTAGCTTGTGATCAGTTACCTATATGATGTTAGAAAATCCAAAGACAGTCTTACATTTTAGAACTTGGAATAGGGTTTAAGGTCATGTATGTAATCACACACTGGTATCTACAGCTGTGCTTTGAAATCACAAGATGATCAAAGACTCATTCGACCTGCAAAGTGACCTACCTACATCTCTCACCTGTAAGACTCTCTGAAGAGCACTGCCATGACAGCATTAGGAAGCATGCACTTACACACTCCTCAGTGCTTCTGTTGTCAAATGAAATAATTTACTTGCTAAATAAAAAAAATAAAGACAAGTGCTAATAATACATACCTTATTAGGCTGAGGAGTTTATTGGGCATTTCCTCATGAACATAATACTACAGACATTTATTTGACTCAATGAGCATTTCACATAATTAGTCATTAAAGTGCTCATTATATAGCCTAATTAAAGTATTTCAATTATGTGTATGACAAACTGTTTTATATCTATCTATATCTATCTATATCTATATCTATATCTATATCTATATCTATATCTATCTATATCTATATCTATATCTATATCTATATCTATATCTATATCTATATCTATCTTCAGTTGGAAAAGTGTGGAAGTATAACATTTAAGAAAAACATACACTATAATCCAAATTTTTGAGTGCTCAAGTCATAACAAAATTAGTGCAAGACAGGTTTGTTTTTTTAAAGAGGTTAAATAATAAAATGAAATTGTCTTAAGATAATCCAACCTGAAAAAAGTGTCTAGTCCAAAGTCTATTTATGCCTTGAGTAACAATTCACTTGTGTAAGCTAAAAACCAAACCAAACCAAAAAAAGCAGGAAAAAACCCTTTAGCTATATTTAGATTCTTCTAGGAACACATCTCAGAGTGCTACAGATAATCCATGAAAAGCAACAGTGTTCCTTAAGCAGGTTTCTCAGATCAACAGCCAACTCTTAATTGTTTTCCTATGCCTCAAGTCTTCATGGTGATCTAAACACCCGTGTTCTTTTCTGTATCCATTCTGATCAAGTAGTAGAGATACATATAAAGGGACATTAACATTACAGTCTTCAGCACTGTATATAAAATCTTTTTGGCACAATAGGTGCTAGGCATTACTTCAAAACATGTCTTGGAGACTGAAAAAAACAAGGAGCTTAATTTTCTTTCCTAACTACATCCTAACTGACAAATATTCATTCACAATTAAAAAAAACTAATTAAAATACAAGGCCTATACACACACAAATGAGAATCTGGCTAGAGTTTCTAATTAAAAATTAGACAATATATGCTCTTTTGTGCTATGATTTCAGGAGGTTTTGCTTACCAGAGTTGGTATAGCCCATTACCGAGACAATTGGGAACTCGCATTTTCTGCGCTGAGCTCTAAGTAAAGCTCTTTTTCTCCTTAGTTTCTCCAGGGCATTCCTAATTTTAAGCTCCCTTTCTTTTAAGACACGATTCTGTGTTTCTAGAAATGTTTCACCTGAAAAATACAA